CATAGTTGACATCTTACCTTAGCATTGGTACATTTGTCACACCCAAGAAACAAACATCAGTTCATTACCATGAGGTAAATTCCAGGTGTGTGCAGGTTTCTCATACTGCCTTCTTTCTGCTCTGGGACATCATACGGCATGTCTTCTGACTCTCCTCTTATCTCTGAACACTTTCAGTCTTTTCTTGTTTTCTGTTTTTTTTGTTTTGTTTTGTTTTTGCATGACCTTGACAGTTTGGGAAGCACTGGTTAGTTATTTTGCAGAATTCTCCTCAATCTTCTCATAGGCTGAGAGAATGTGCATAACAGAGTCAGCTTGCTGTTGTACTCAAAGGCTGCCAAGGACTGCAAAAGTGCTCTCTTGCTGGGTCTCAGTGCCTGTCTGTGCCTCCCAGTGTGAGCATATCAGATTCTGAGAATTATTCCAGCATTTAAAAATGCAAACATTTTGTCCACCGTGTGCACCAAGTACAGGCCAACCCATCTCATTAGGGGTGCAGTAAATGTAACAGAGGTCATTTGCAATCCTGTAAGAAACAAGCAGTAATAGTCTTCTTACAAGAGGGTATATCCATATTTTATGGTAGGTATAAGAGCTTTGTCAAAGATGATTTTGTCTATGTAGGATTTTTCTTCAATTGCTTATTTTATACTGTATACCTCACTTAAAATGCAACTCTTTCATCTGCCACATAGAAAGTCTGCACTGTCTGTAGGAGCAACAGAATCTGCGAACAAAGGGGACTCAGAGTGGTACATGGACACTTGTTTAGGGACTGGACATAAGAGAGCTCTCAGTTAAATTCAGTTCAGTAATCCACCTTTATCCACCGGGGATATGTTCCAGGGCCTTCAGTGGATATCTGAAACCTCAGATAGTACCAAAACCTATAAACATTGTGTTTTTTTATTAGGGACAATAAGAAATTAGCAATAATAAAATAGAAAAATCATACTAATGTACTGTAATAAAAGTTATGTGAATAAGGTATGTTTCTCTCTTGCTCAAAAAGTGTGGCTTGAACATAACACAGTGAAACTGCAACAGCCCATTTAATAACCAAGACAGCAACTAAATGACTAATAGAAGAGTAGCATATATAGCATGGATACACTGAACAAAGGGATGAGTCAAGTTCTGGGTAAGGAGGAGCAGGATGGCACAAATTTCATCATGCTACTCAGCTTGGCATATAGTTTAAAATTTGTGAATTATTTCTTTCTGGAATTTTCCACTTAAGATTTTTGGACTTGATTGACTGTGGGTAATTGAAACTGCAAAAAAGCAAAGCTGCAGAAAACAAAGGTAATACTGTAATATAGTATGCATGATTTATTTTCACATTTGGAAACATTGGCAAAGTGATTATTAAAACAACAACAAAATAACTGTTAAATTTTTATGTCATGATAGAAAAGCAGTGGGCAAGAAGTCAGAAGATGTAAGTGCAACCCCCAGCCTTGCAGCTAATTAAGAGATGACCTTGTCACATACTTTGGAAAAATAGCATTTTATACAAACACACGCACACACACACACACACACACACACACACACACAGTACAGTACAGCACAGTTGCTGCAGTTGCTGGTTTCTGACTGCTGGCTGCACAGGCTGGGAGCTAAATATAACAGAGAAAGACATTTGGATTATTGGCTAGACACCTGAGTTTTAGACAAATCAATACCTCTTAGTAACACTGTTATTTTTGGTACTTCTCTCACACTAACTGAATAATTACTGGTCAGTTAGGCCCAAAGACGTCTCTTTGGGCATTGATGCGGTCTGCTTTTCTATAACATTCCATCTGACTTCTTGCATGCTCTTTGCTCACTTCTGGGAGAGTCTGTCCACAGAGATCAGTTCTTTTTGTTTCCTCTTGTCTTGGACATTTCACATGGGTTTTACCCACTAGTCTACCCCAGAGGAGCCTCACACCAGGCCCCAAGTGCCAATCATTCTACTTGGGCCTCTCAGCTCCAAACCCCTCCTCTTGCAACCCATCCTCATTAACCCATTCCTAGGTCTTGCCAATAGGTGGCGTTAGAGAAAGGAATCCTGCTTTCCCAAGTCAGGGTTTCTTTGGCTGTAACTGCAAGCTTACAGGCCTCTTGAGTGGCCCTCACTAGTAGCTATGTTAATTCTCTAGAGATGTAATCACTACTTCCTCAGCATCCTTCTTTCAGTCCTCTAACACGTGAGTCATTAATTCCTGTGTTAAATCTTACTCATTTGAAATTCCTGTGTTTTCTATTTTCCAGGCTATATCCGGCCTAATAAAAATTGGTTAAAAAGTCCACTATTCCCCCAAATCTTGGGACATCTTATTCTTTTAGAAGGTAGCTCATTCAGCACTTCACAAGAAAAATTCTATATTTTGAGGAATACATTTTGTGGATACTGTTATATTTTATATATAGTTAATGCCTGCTGTGTGGATCCCACACTACACCACAGGATGAGCACAGTGACTGCTTTCACAGGGCAAGAATGTGAATGGAAGGCGGTTATTGTATGATTCTGAGATAGAGCTTTAATCTCATTTAATAGCTCACTCTCGGTCACTTTCATGAATAAGATCATATACTATAAAGTAATACTATAGAGTATGCCCCAAACATGGCAGAATCTAAGAAAATAGATTAGTACATACGTGAATGTATGCGAACACATCTCATTTTAAAATTCTTGGCTCCATCTTTTTTTCTGTCCTGGAAATTACATATATTTGCCTTTTCTTAACATATATAAAACCAATAAATAAACAAAGTAAATGGAAAACAACAATCACCCTCAAACAAGAGTATTTATGTTTCTAGCAACTCCATTCTCTGGAGTGCTTGGGCAAGGGTGCTCTAAGTTATCACCATTTTACACATAAGATCAAAAAACAAAACTCCAAGGAATTAGTGACTTGCCTGGTTACCTGGGTAGCAAGTGGAAGCTGGGCAGACTCAACTTCCCACTTCCCGTTACTGGGCATACACCATCTCCTGGAAGCCTGCACCCTACTTCACAGGCTGCCAAGGGGCACTGCCTTGAAAGAGTGCAGCTGCCCCTTACAACCTGAAACAGGGCACTCAGCCTCTGGCTTAGTAAGTTAGGATTTTGTGAATTTGGTTTCCCTTCTTTGACTTTCCCCTTCCCTGAAGAAGAAAGTTATTTTCAAACCTCCATCTGTTTTGTGTTTAACGTGCAGAAAGGTTGCACATTTTCAAGGACCTTGTTCATAAGCAGTAGATTGTACAACAGTTTATTACACAAGTGGAGGTTTTTATTGCTGGCCTTTGTTGAGTTGCCAACTGGGAGAGAGAACATAATGTGCTTAGCGGTCCCTATCAGGAGAAATGAGAGAGCATTAAATACCAGTCAAATCGTCAAGCATTGAAAAGCTGGTAATCAAATCCAGAAATTCCTGGAGCACAGCTGGTGAGGAGGAGTTTTCTTATTAATATTATTTTTACATCCATAATTGTTTCACAAGTCATTTAGGTCACAGGCAGGGTTCCCAAACATTATGTGAGAAGTATATCAAAGGCAGAATAAACATTTGATCAAGAAAGACCCACATCCACTTCAAAATCCCAATCAACAAAGGGCATCAAACTGTAATTCCATGAAGAGCTTTATATGCATGTGTGTGTGTTTGTCACATCATAGTATTGAAGCCATCAGTTATGCAAATACATGCTCAAGATATGATAAACTTCTTTCTTTACTTTGGCCTGTATACACTGTACTCATAAGAGGGACTGTATTGTACTACTGGCTTATCCCACAGTTAGAAAATGTCCGCAGGAAATCCTAGGAAAAATTGTGTCAGAACAATTTCAACTGTAAAGGCCAGTGCCAATGGTGATGGTTTACTTTTGCACCTTCATTTCCATTCCAAAAAGCTCAGACCATCACAGAGCCATTGCATTGAAGCTACTGGAGACTCCAGAAACATCTAATAATTAAATATTCCTCAGTCTGGACCCTACCCCAGATTAATTAAATAAAATTTCTTGGAGTGGGTAGGGATATTTAAATGTTCTTCAGGTGATTCTATTTCATTTCCTGGGATTGAGAATCTCAAAACTAAACCAACTGTCTAATTTTATTGGTAGAGGAAACTGAATCTGGAGAAGTTACTGTCCATAATAATCAATACCCAGTATCTTTTTTTTCCAAGGAGGTGTTTTCACCCTGGTGTTCTGCAACTCTGTAACTTCATGTCCTCAATATCTTAACCCCTCATTTATGAATGCAACACATTGGAACCTAACTCAGTTTTCTCCTTGTCTACTATATGCACAAATAAACATGATGAAAATTGTATCAGCAGCAGCAGCTCAAGCATCTCCAGGAATACAAAGGAGACTGTTAGGCCACAAGCAAAGGTAACCAAAGGACCCATTTCCTCCTTTAGGTAGTTCACGGAGAAAGAAGTCAGGAAGTGGCCATTAAATGTGAAGACTATTCAACTTTATTCTTCATTATTAGCCCATGATCAGAATCTTCATCTGTTAAACAAAACAGTCTTCATATGTGCCTGACCACTTACATACATATAAATGGTTCCCTCATCACTTTCCAAAATTTTAAAAGTTGGGCACTGAATTGTATGTCTACCTGACTCTACATTAGTCCCACTAAAAGTGTCCTACAGGCTGTCACTGAAAGATCCTTTTCAGGCTGAAAATCCCAAGCCTTTCCCAGCCCATCAGCCACATTCTAATTGCACTGGTACTGTGAGTCTGATAAACAATGTCCTCAATCTGATGGACAGCTTGTACTCAGGGGGACATTGGTCAGTAGCCTTGGACTCCTCAGCCTAATCACCCTAGCTTTAATGCCACTTAAATCAGAATGTAAGCACTGAAAGAATTTCAGGAATGTGATGATATAAATTGTATTTTTAGACCCGTGAATGATTCGAGCCAGTGAAACAGTGCAGTGACTAAAGATAGATCTCTTTAGTTTTCCCATGATTTATCACAAGCAAGTTCACAGCAGGTTAAAATAATTGAATGCTGTGATAGCATACATACTGGCATGACTTTTTGAGCAGCCATTCATAACCTATTTGTCACAAAGCATAATTTCATGATAGAACTCTGATTCACATGCGGTTTTATTTTTCCAGCAATAAAACATTTGAATAACTCCTTCACGAAGGCTGGCTACATTTTCACAATATCCAATCCCAAACTAGAGCTTCAGGAAAAGGGATCCAGGAAATGATTATTCCACCAAGTAAAATGTAAGTATATCCTGACAAAATGCTCACTTTTATTGGCAGATAAAGAGAAATTTTCTTTATAGGGATGATTGTAATTCAGAGGCTTGCCTTATAGATTCTATTTCTTACCACTTCATTTCTTTTCCTTCATTGTTTCTTTTCCATTCATCTCCTCGGGCACGTTTTTTTCTACTTGTTAGCTGTATCCCCTGGGCGAGCAGTTTTTTCACTCTGTAATCAAATACTATAATGTGGAGAAAATCTAAAAATGACTCCACAGTGTTATTGTACAAAGTAAAGATAGTGAATGTGTGGGTACACATGGATCCCAAACTCAGCTGTATAAGAAATACAACTTTCCTTATTTTTCTACAACTTTGCTTCATTTCTACGTGAAGTTCTAATTTGGCTTAGTTATGAAGGTGTAATCTCAGTCCAATCAGGGTGTCCTCATCTAAACCTCAGAGAAGACACAGCATCTATCTATTTTCCCACCTTCAACCCTGTCTGAGCGTTCCACAGTTGTCCCACCCAGAGGTGCTGGACGAACGAACAAGTAGTGAATACTCCCCAGTTCCCTTCCCAGTGTCCCCACCACCATGTCAGTTTTCTTGGCTTCTCTGATTCCCTTCTTAAATTTGAAGAATCTTGTCTAGTCTGGAGCAAAGTGTTTCAAGCTTTTTATCTGATCTTTGAAATCTTTGATTTATGACCAGAACCTGAGATTTGGTCCTCAAAAGCTAAGAAATTTGTTTCCTCTCTTATCTTCATTTTGATGGTTTTCCCTTCCCTAAAGCTTTACAGAAGACCTAGCTGCTTAATGGGGAAAATACAGGAAATACCAGAGACAACATATGGGAATATATCTCACAAGAATTTCTCAACACAGATGTAAAGCACCAAGAAGGCTTGGCACATGTCAAGAAGCCTTCAAAGGTGACTGCTATCCTTATACAAAATTTTATGGTCAAGCTCCATGCTTCTTGTCTCCATGTCCTGCAAGTTGTTCAACTTTTTCATAATTCAGTTTCCCCTTCTGTAAAATGGGAATTATAATCATATGTATCTCACAAGGTCATATGTTTATAAAGTACTCACTGGAATTACACAGTTATCATCACCACCAGTACACACTTGTAGCTGTCAAAGCCATTGGTCTAAAGCCATTGTATTGATATGGTTGTCATAGTGCATCATAAATAAAGAAGAAGGTGAACATATCACATCTAGCATTTCACAGCTAAAGAAGGAAGTGCTGGTCCCAAGTATGAGGCTAGGCTCAATTTCCTATAAATGGAAACTTCTGATAATATCTAATAGAATAATCCTGAAGGTGAGTTAAAAAGGAATTAGCTAATATAAGTCAAGCTAGCTCTGAGGTGCTGGCATGAACAGATTCTTAGAGAGATATAGTCTGAATTTGAAGACAGGTTCACCCTTCCAGTCCAGCGGGAAGGATGAGAAACAAAGTTAAGAAGGTCTGGCCAAGTTAGAGAGTTAGGGTGAGGAAGTACCTGGGTGACCATTGCTAAAAGTTGCTGAAGAGAACACGCACAGGACCTCTCCTGAGACATGAGGCCACTTTGGACTTTTGCTAAGCAAAGTACTTCTTTGGAGAGCAAGGACAGTAAGGGGGCACTGAGGGAGAGATGGTGGTAGATTGTTCCCCAGTCTACATGAATGTCATTCTCCAGCCTATCAAACTGTTGAACAAGAAAATGAGAATGTGAAGACCTTCACCCTTATATCTGCCCCTCTTTCTACCCAGAGCCAGCCTGCTCAATGTCCTCTCAACCCACAATCAGTCAGAATGAATGAACCCAAATGAGACAGTGGAAAGAGCCACATCAGAAGCCAGGAGGCCAGTACTCCAGACCCAGTCAGTGACTAACTAGTTCATGGCCCTAGACAAATCTCTTCAGCTTTCTGGACCTTATCACCCTCAGTGAGGAAGAAGGACTGGATAAGAGCAGCTTGGTACAGTTTCACAGGTGGTCGAGTGAGGAGCATGGAAGCCAGAGGAACAGCAAGATGAGTTCTGTTTTTGCCCTTTTTCATAAGTGTGAGTTTATTTCATCTCTCTAAGTTCCAGTTCCCTTGTGCATAAAGATGGAGATAACTATAGTGCTTTCTTTGCATGATTATTTTGAAGCAAATTCAAGAGTGTATAGGACATGTTTAGCACTACTGTGAAACACTATAAATACTCAACTGTTGCCAATATCACTATAGCAATTATTGAGGGAGGGATTATCAGGTCAGGGGCTACTAGGTGGGTTGAGTGGGAGACTCAAGACTGCAGATACTTCCTCATCAAGAAGAGCAGCTTTGTTTCTCTCATTTGAGAGAATAGATGATAGATAGATAGATAGATAGATAGATAGATAGATAGATAGATAGATAAGATAGATAGATTGTGTGCCTAGCGTGCATGAGCCTCTGACCTCTCTGGGCCCAGAACCACAAACTTGATTAGTCAATCACTGGGCCAGGCCAACAGCTGGCAAGCTTTTTCTGTAAAGAATCATATAGCAAATATTTTGCATTTTGTGGACCACATGTGGTCTCCATTGCATATTTTTCTGATTTAATTTAGAGTAAGAGTGGGGATTCAGTTTAGATAAAGATCTTTTAGGCTAGGATAATAAGAAGAAGAATAGAGTACGTATCAAGATGTAATACTCTCATCTGTTTATACTGAAGATCTCAATAATAGAACACAGTGAAGATTTATTTCTGGTAAAACAGTTGGAAGTTGAGGGTCCAGTCTACATAGCCTTCTGGGGATCTACAATCCTTTCATCTAGTGAGTCCTTCATCTCCTAGTGCTCTGCAGACACCCTCAGGATGGAAGGAAAATAGAACTGGGTCAAATTCAAGAACCCCACAAAAATACAGAAACTATGGTCTGGGAGGATGAGGCAAGTTTGAGCACATCCTGTGTAACTTAATGACGTAGTGGCCCCCTGTCTTAAAACTTACAAAAGAAAAATCAAGGCAACTAGTGTAGTTCAGTGCAAAGGCCTGAGATTCAATTCCCCAATACTGAGAAAAGAAAAGAAAGGAAAAGGAAAGAAAAGGAAAGGAAAAGGAAAAGAAATGTAGAAACTATTCTTAGCTTAGGGGCTGTCCAGTGACAGATGTGGGCTGATTCTGGCTGCCTGCCTGCAGCTTGCCCACTCCTGGATAAAGCCATCTCTTATATTCCTTGTGAAGATGAACAAACTTCTCCATGATAAATCTTTTTCTTTCTCCATCAAAGTAGCCTAGTTTCCCTCATAACATCTATTATCTTGTATGTAATAATATTTCTCATATTTATAACAGTTGTCAGATTAAGTGTTTTTGTTAAATTTTATGTGTAATATTACACAGAGTCCTTTTGTGGACAGTTTTCATGAAGGTGGTAGGTTTCCTGGGGCTGCTGGGCTGCAGTACCACCCACTGGGTGCCTGCAAACAACCGAAATTTATTCTCTCACAGTCTGGAGGCCACAAGTCTGAGATCAGTGTCAACAGCATTGATTCCTTCAGAGAGAGAGAAGCTGATCTGTGCCTTCCTCCAGTCTCTGGTGAGGGCCAGCAGTCCTCAGGGTTCCTCGGCTGGTAGAAAGAGCACTCCATGCTCTGGGTCCACCTTTACACAGTGTCCTTCCTCTGCTCATTTCTTTACAAGACCAGCTCTTTCTTGAATTAGGACCCGCTCTAATGACCACATCTTAACTTAATCTCCAAAAGCCCTATTTCCATACAATGTCACATTCACAGGTACTGGAGGTTAGGACTTCAACCTATCTTTTGGGAGGACACAACTCTGCCTATGACAAACAGTGGACAGCATATGGGTGCCCACTTCATATCTTAATTACAAGTGATGAGAACTGTTGGGCCACCCCATGTTGCAGCTGAGATGAGTAAGAGGGATGAGGTACCTGAGTGCTTACTTTTTACCATTCAGTGTAAATTACTGAGAGAATAAAGCCATTAGTGCTGCTAACCTGAAGAATGCAGAATTTTCTTTTTAAAGTATTTTTTTATGGACATGGAACACTGAGCTAGAAAACATTGCACATTCTGTACCCTTCTTCTATTTTCAATTTATAAATACTGTATTCAAAATACCGGAATAGTGTGGCTTGTGGTTACTAACAAAATTAAAAATAAAAGCAAAAAGCCCCATAACATCCATAGTGCCCTGTGAGGGAGATGCAGCCTGCTGCCCTGGATGAGAAATGGAGGATCTGATGAATTTTCACCCCTATCTGCAGGGGTCAGGATTTGAAAACCACTACCAGCTGGTTGTAATTCTGTCCTATTTTGAAACAGATGACTTAGACTGCTAAGCCATCACTGGGACTCCAATTTATTTTTCCCTACTTGGTCTAGGTTTCAGAAACCCAGTTTGCAAAGTAAAGAAAAGGAGAAAATTATACTTTTGGTGATCTCACCCCAGGTCTGTCTGTAGAAAACCTACCAGTATTGCAGAATTTGTGCAAGTGAATCGAACCGTGCTATATCTTCTCCAGTATCCGAAAGCAGGTCTTCTATATCTCTTTCCCAATGTTCTTCAGTACTTTTTGTTGCTTCGGTGACACTTGTTATAGTTTGCCATGTGTTTGAGTCTTATCTCTGCTCCTGAAATGCAAGCTCTTTGAATCTTAGTCTTAAGACTCAAGGCAGAGAGGAAGAAGCAAATGGAGAGAAGAAGACAAGGGGGAGAGAGAAACTTGAGATGCAGAAAATGAGATAAGAAACACAGGCGTGAATTCGTTAGGGCAAAGTGGGCAAACTGAAATGGTCTCTGCTCTCCGTATCTTCTTCACTTTCCTGGAAGCCCACTAAGCCTGTTAGGGGTTCTACTGGAATTCAACATCAGACCTTAATGAATATAGTTATGGACAACTCTTTTCAAAGCTGAGGCCACAACCAAACCACTTAATGCCTCAAGCTTCTCATCTATATGATATAATTAATGATTGAATTCACTGTATACAATTGTAGAAATCAAATATGATTAATGGATGTGAAGTACTTATCATATAGCCAGCCTGGCTCAGTATTCCCAAATGTCCCAAATTAATCCTTAGGAATTGCGACAAACTTGGGTTTGTAGTCTTAAGAATCTGTATATTTACTAAGCATAATTAAGAAAGTCTCATTTTCAAAGAAATTTGGGAAACAATCCTATAATGATATTGATAGCTCAATAAAAAGTAACTATGTTGTTGTAGTATGTTTATCATCAACATTATCATTGTTATTGGCAATTCTGCTTAAAGATGATGGCATGGGAATGATTCAGCAATATTGGCAGATTACATAGTGTCTTGAATCTGGTAAATTTGACTCTGGTCTTATAGGAAGTCGGTTTTACTGTTTGTAGAACCAGTAGACTCCTAACCAACTCAAATGCAGTTTGAGTTTGAGCTTGAAGCTCAATGCAATTATTTCAATTTTAATCTACTTAGATGAAGAGAAACCTCCATTTTGAATAAGAACTTGGACTTTACTTAATAAATTGGTGGGTATAAATCTAATTTGCTTCATTCCCATTTTTGTTCATCTTGGGATGAATAAAAATTTATGAAGTGCTAATTTCTACATTTTGTTTGAAGTATCTCCCAAGAAAGTAAAGAATCACAAGGTTCCTTTACTTAAAGAGAAGGTAAAAATATCATTATCCAATATTTTCACATAGAAGCTTGGGCCCTTTTTGTCAACTCTACTGTTTATCCATACCTCTGAGACATAAAAGATCAACAGTTTTTATAAACTCCTCTCTGTGCTTGACTGCTTCAATTATCCTCAAAACTCCCTATAACTGATGGTTTCTTCTCAGTAAAGTTGGCTTATCAGCATTCTGAGTTCTGAATTTTTAGATCAGAATTCCACAGTAGAAAAGTAACAGAAATGAGAGGTTGTGGGTTCAGGGCAGATAAAGTTCTTTCTTCTGCTGGTATTAAGGCTTGGTTTCCCTTAAAACCTGTATTCTCCTTGTAATTCCTTTATATTTCTAATTCTACCATCCACTGAGTATCCAGACACAGCCGTGTGGAGAACAAGTGGTGCCCGTAGTATATTTACAGCCACAATAAAAGTATGGATTTTCTTCTTTGACTTTTATTTACTTTTTACTTTGTATCAGTACATGTTTACAGTACATAATGATTACATTCATTGTGAGGAGTTGGTACATGTACGTAACACATCTTAATTGTTTTTCATCCTCTTCTCCTTCCCTGACTCCTCCCTTCCTCCCTCCCTCTCTTGGTTTCCCTTCCCTTTTGCAAAAAGATCTATCTCCTTGTTTCCTATTATCTATTTGTTTGTGTGGCTCTTTAATTTACTTACACTTTGGATTTCTCATATAAGAGAAATTGTGCTATTTCAGCTTGTGTGTCTGATTTATTTCAATTAACATTATGGTCTTAGGATGCATCCATTTTCCCACAAATTACTCATATTTATCCTTCTTTATGGCACAATAGTACTCCATCATGTGTAAATACCACATTTTCTTTTTCCATTCATCTGTTGATGGACATTTTTCAAGGTACAACTTTTGGTTTTGTTACTCTCCACCCAGCCTAGGGACAATATCTTCAATTTAGATAATGTATCATGGGTGGAAGATACTGGTGATAGCTAATGATAGCTAACATCCTTCCTTCTTTGGGTAGAGAGTATCCTAGGTGTCTTGCAACTGTTACCTATTCAGTTCTTCTAACAACACGTGAGGTAGATCTTCTTGGTATTTTCTTTACTTTATAGCTTTGGAAACTAAAACACAAGGAAGCTAGGTAGATTTTTCAAGGTCCCAAGTCATCACTGGGGCCAGAATTCCACCCCAAAAAGGAACAAGATCTTAAGCCTACATTCAACAGCTTTCATGACAAAAGCTGAACATCTCTAAGCATATTTAAATGAGAAGCATAGATAAGCATGATTTTGCACTCAATTATTGTTTTTTCTATCAAAAATAGAACTATTAAGTTTATTTAAACAGCAAAGCATAACACAGCCATTTCCATGGCATTATATTTTTAAAGATTTAGAGCAAAATCTAAAAATATTAAGCTCCTAGATACAAGTAAGCACCATTTTTTATCAATTCTACAAACAAGAGATCTTAACCCTTTCATTCTGTTCTTCATGCTGGGCATTTTATTCACTTCTTTATTTAATAAAATTTTCTATGCTTTTGCTCTTGGGATTTTCTTTTACCTCATGAAAATTTATTGTATTACATTTCTAAATATATCAGAAGTCTTGCCACCTTTATTGTCACTTTTTTGTGTGGTACTAGGGATGAAACACATGGCCTCATGCATAGTAGGCAAGCACTGAGCTATAGCCCTAGCTCTTTATTGTCACTTTCTTATCAATATCTTCTTAAATACAGAATTCTCTGTCAAATTTTCCTTTCACAAGAAAAAAATAATCACAGCACATTATTCTCTTATGTATTCTCATTATTTTCCTTTCTTTCAGAATAATTTCCTGGCCAGTTCTGTTTGACGCCATATGGCTCTATGTTATTTGATTTATAAAGCTCACATGTTACCTGTTTGTTATTTTCTGTGGTGCTGGCTAGAGAGTTCACTGTATGGAGGTGAGGGCAATACTTGCCTTTCCTCTTTATCTTCTAGGGGAAGTACTGTTTCACCATTCATTACTATGTTAGTCGTAGGTATATTTTTAATTGGTGTATTTTAATAGGTGTATTTTTTAATGCTCTTTATTTCTTCTATTCCTAGTTTGCTGAGAGTATATGTCCAGAATGGGCATTGAACTTTGTCAAGTGGTTTTTCTGTATCAACTGATATCATCATGTGGTTTTCCTTTTTTGAGGTAAATTTCTTTCTTGTTTGGTGGATTACATTGATTAGTTTTGGGAATATTCAACTAGCCTTACATTCTGAAAATAGACCCCACAGTTGTGATGTGTTCTTTTTGCACATTGTTGGATACAACTTGTTTTTATAAAAAATCAAATCAGTATTTTTGCACCTGTGGTTATGAGAGATATTAGCCCATAGTTTCCTTTTTATCTTCCTTTCTTCCTTGCTTCTTTCCTTCTGTTCACTTCTGTGCCTGTCTGGTCTTGGAAATATTTTAATGATGACTTCATAAGTTGAGCTGGGAAGTGTTTCCTCGTCCTCTACTTACTTGTTGTAGGAGCTATTATTGATTTGGTGTTATAGTTTTTAAAAACATTTAATAGAATTTTCCAGTGAAATAATCTAGGCCTAGAGAACTTCTTCAGAAAGTTTTAAACTACAAGTTTAATTTAATTAAGTTATAGGGCCACTCAAGTTGTCTGTTACATTTTGAGTGAGTTTAGGTAATTTGTGCTTGTTAAGGAATTCGATTTATCAAAATTGTTTTTTTTAAATTCCTGTTTGTTAATATCATTGCTCATGGTATTCCCTTGTTATTTTTTAAAGTCAGTGGCATCAGTAATGGTATCCTGTATCTCATCCCTGATGTTAATAATTTGTTTTTCCTCTTCTATTTTCTTTGTCCATCTTGCTAAAAGTTTATGAATAGATTTCTTGCAAATATTCAGGTTTTGATTTCTTTTTCTCTTCAATATCCTTTGTTTCTGTCACTCTGTTTTCTCCTTTCCCTCTTTCTTTTTGAGCTTATTTTATTCTTCTTCAGAATGAAATTTAGATAACTTAAGTGAGGTATGTCTTTTCCAATGTTAGCATTTAATGTTTAAGTTTTTCTCTAAACACTAGTACAGTTGTATCTCACAAATTTTCATTTATTTTCATTTTTGTTTGGTTGAAATTATTTTATAATTTCCCTTAAGATTTCCTCTTTGATTTATAGATTATTTAGAAGGATGTTGTTTAATTTAATGTTTGAAGATTTTTTAAATCTTGTTTCCTGTTATTAATTTTTAACTTATTTGAATTATGGATCAAAGAGTATATTTTGATTTTTTGCATAATTTAAATTCTTTGTTAATGTTTATTTTTAAGACTCAGGGCATGATCTATCTTGTTGACCATTCCATGTACTCTTAAAAAGAATGTATATTCTACTGTTATGGGTAGAGTTATCTATAAATATCATTTAGATCCAGTTGGTTGATGATGTTGTTCAATTCTATATCCCTGCTGATATTCTGTTGGCTCTGACATTACTGAGACAGGCATGTTGAAATTGCCAAATGTAGTTATGGAGCTTCAAAAATCTCTCCTCTCATGTTATGAGCTTTTGCACCATGTCATTTAAAGTCCTGCCGTTAGGTGCATGTACAATGAGGACTGTTACGTCTTCATGGTGAACTGACCGGTTTATCATTGTATCCCTATTTATATCCCTATTTATCCCTGGTAACTTACTCATTCTGAAATATACTTTGTCTCATAGCATAGCTCCTCTAGGTTTCATTGGACCAGTATTTCCATGGTGTATCTCTTCCTTTTATTTAGGCTCAGGTTACTTATATCATTATATTATGAATGAGTTTCTTGGAAATAGCTTATCATTTGCATCATTAAAAAATACACTGATGGCCTGGGATTTAGCTCAGTGGTTTCACTGCCTGCTGTGCAAGCGCAAGGACCCGAGTTCAATCCCTGGTACCAAAAAAAAAAAAGTACACTGACAATTTCTATCTTTTAGTTAGTGTGCTTCACTGACATTTAGTATAATTCTTTATATACAAGGGGTGATCAAAATATATAGCAAATGTTTCCCTTTTAAATTTTATTAAGGATACATTTGCATAATCCTCCCAACTACTACCCCTCACTTCAAACATTTATCCAATCATTCTTGCCATTTTTTTAAAGCAGTTAAAAATAGATTTTATTTTAATCAATGCCACCTTCTGAAGCAGTTCTGGAAGTCCTCTCTTGTGAGTGTCCTTATGAGGTATGATAAAAAAATATGACAAATGCTGCTACCAAGTGCTATCCAATGGAAAAACATTATGGTGTGTCCTCATCTGCCTTATTCACCAGGTCTGGCACTGTGCAATTTCTGGCTCTTCCCAACGTCAAAATGACTATGAAAGGTAAACATTTTGTATGGATTGAGGACATCAAGGCAACTATGCAACTAAAGACACTCTCGAGAGTCTTCCACAACATCTTTAGAAGGTAGAAAGAACTGTGGAATAAGTGCATTTTTGACTGTAGGGCAAGTATTTTGAGGGAGATTATTGAAAACGTGGCTTTTACTGTAATAAACTTTTAAAAATTTAAATATTCATTGTTTCTTTCTATAGCAACTCATATTTTCATTTAGGTCTGTTATTTTGTTTTCAAAAGCCCCATTTTTAGTTTTTCTATTCCTTTCCTTTTAGTTTCCTTATTCTCTTTTGTGTCTTTTTTTAAACATTACTTAACATTTCATTTTAACTTATCTATTATGTTTTTCAATTTATCTCACCTCTCTCTTATTATCACATACTGTTTGCTGTATCTAATTTTATAATGGAATGCAAAAACTTTACTGCCATATAGGTCCCTTTATGTTGTAACTCTCTTATATATTACATCTATATACCGTGACTATTCCATCACTTAACATTTTTTATTTTAGCCATAAAAGTATTTTAACAGCTCAAGAGCAGAATAATCTATTATATTTAATTAGATATTTTCTTTCTGTTACTCTTCCTTTATTTTTGGTGTTCCAAGATTTATTTATAGTTTCCCTTTCCTTCAGATGGAATGGCTGCATTTGGAGCAGCCATCAACATTCTTAATTTTTCTTTGTGTGGAAATGCCCTTGTTTCAGGTTTATGCTGGATCTAGACTTCTCAGATGATGTCTTTTCTTTCAGCACATTGAAAGTGTCCACTGCCTTCTGGGTTCCACAGTTTCTGATGATGAATATATATTCATATTCATTTGAATCATTGTTCCATTCAAAATTATATATCATTTTCCCCTGGCTGTTTTTAAGATTTTCCTTTTGTTTTCAATTTCCAAAAATTTGACTGTGATACTTCTGAGTATGTATTTCCTTAATTAATCCTGTTTGAGGAACTTTTTTCATTTCTAGATTTATGTCTTTTTCAAAATTTGGAAAGGTTTTGGCCATGGATTCTTCCATATTTTTTTGTCCATTATTCTTTTTCTCCTTTTCTCCTCAGATTCCAACCACATAAACATTAGTCTTTTTGTTATATTCCCCAGGTCCTTAGGGGCTGTTGTCCTTTTCAATCTTTTTCTCTCTTGCTTAGATTGGATAGTTTCTATGATCTATCTATATATTTTCTGTTGCTTTCTATGTAAAAATGTCTATACATTTTATGCAATTCTGATAATCATAAGTGATAAACTGATCGTAAAATTTGTACAAAAAGGTAAAATAAAAGCAAATGTACCAGAATAACCAAACAATATTGGAAAGAGTGAAGACAAAAACTAAAGTTGGAGAAATCACATTATCTAATTTCAAAATTTTTATCATAAATCTATAGTAATAAGGCTGTGGTATTGGAGAAAAGATAGACACAATAATCAATGCCAAAAAATAAAAAAATCCAGAAATAAAGCTACACAAATACAGGCCATTGATTTCCTACAAAACTGTGAATGTAGTTCAATGGAGAAAGGACACTCTTAAGTGCAAATGGTTGTGAAACAATTTTGCATCCATGAATAAGAAAATAAGCCTTTACCTAAAACCCACACTTTGTGCACAAATGGACTATGTGTCATAAATCTAAATGTAAAATTATAAAACTTTGAAGGAAACATATAAAAGTTTTCATTACCTTTAATTAGTTGAAGAATTTTTATATACAACACAAAATTATTATCCATAAAAGAAAGAAATCATATAATGCAAGTCATCAAAATGTAAAATTTTTGTTCTGAGAAAGACATCAAGAGATTTAAAAAATAGCAGCTCTAAACTTGAAGAAAATATTTTAAATTACATATGTGACAAAGAATTTCTATTCCAACTGCATTAATAACTCTTAAAGCTCAGTAATAGGGTTAGGGTGTACCTCAGTAGTAGAGCACATGCTTGGTATGAGTGAAGCCCCTGGGTCCAATCACCAGTAACAAAATAAAACAAAACAATCCCCATTAGTAAATAAATGCAAAAAACAACCAAAAAAACCCCATACAAGCCAAATACAAAAATAGGGAAAATATTTGAATACACATTTCAATAAATGGAAGACACAGAAGAAAGAAATAAGCAATATGAAAAAGTATTCAGCATTATTACCATTGGAGAAAGTCCAAGTTGAAAACAAATTACTTGGACTCAGCTAGTATGCCTTATTAGAATTTTACTTATGGAGAATTGTAATTATCGAAAAGTATTGAAATACTGAACATGGACATTCAGAAGACTTGTTAATCAAGACAGAGAAGACAGACTCAAAGATGATAACTTCAAGGTGTAGAGGTGGAGGGTGTTCTCAGCTTCTTTTACTCCAGAGAATAAACTCAGAGGGTCAGAGGGGGACTCAAGACAAAAACCATAAACACCTAAACTCAGCTATGCAAGAGGTCTCAGTATCAGAGTACTCTTCCAACGAGCACAGATTTTATTGTAAAACTTTGTCACCTTCTGAAGCCAGGTTTGCTGGAGTGTGTGTTAGGGCCTCTGCAGATAAGTAAATTGAGCTACAGTAGTAGGAGCCAATAAACACAGCCATCTGCAGGAGGGGACCGATGGAGGAATGAAAACCTCAGTCAGTTCTGACATATCTACTGATGGCAGAATATTGAGGCAAAAGAATCTTTAAAAAGGAAAAGTAGATGGGAGAGAGAGTTCATGGTCTGTATGTAAAGACATTTTTGGATAGTCTCCATTTTCTTTCCTATCTGCATTGGGAAAGTCAAAATTTTTGTACCTGCGCTGGGGATGTAGCTCAGTGTTAGAATGCTTGCCTAGCATGGGCAAAGCCCTGGGTTTGATCCCCAGAACCATGAAAAAAATGTTTTGTACCTAGATAAACCTACTGGTGTAGGAATATGTTCAGTCATTAAACTCTTGAACAAATCTAAGAGTTACCTATCACGGATTGCTGTGGTTTTATACAGTGCTTTGTTTTATGTGTTGTCTTTCCAAAGTGCAGTAGTTAGGGTGAATTCTCAGAAGTCAGATGGCCTGGAATGAAATACCAACTTTATCATCTCCTAGTTATGTGATCTTGGGAAAGTTACTTGACCTCTCTTCAGTTTCCTTAGCTATAAAAATGGCAATAATAATCCTTAGCTCATGGTTTAATAATTATAAAGCACTCAGAACAACTCTGAGTATGTACTGAGGCCTCAATAAATTACATCCTCCTCCTGCACCTCTTCCTCTTTGTCATCATATCACCACAACTCACTTGTGCTTACGTGCGTATTTCCAATAGAGTTTTCCTCTGAGCTCTTAGTTGTGATTCATTAACAACCACATAGGAGCAGGTTAGCTGACTAGGAAGCAGAAACTATCTACAGAAATAATTCCTCTGGCTTATTATTTTCAAGGAGAGAAAAAAAGTACTTCACTTTTTAAATTTTAGTACATATTGAAAATGTTCCTACCAGGAAATATACAGTTCTTCCCTCCTCATTTTGTCTTCTTAAAGTCTGAATGAAATTGATTCCATATGTTTATTAAATCTTAAAGGGAAATTGTATGGTGTAAGTACTTCCTGAAATTGAGTGTTTCCTTTGATAATTCTATATTTACTACAAGACCTCTGAAGAGTGATTTTCTGGTTTGATAAGAGAACTCAGCCTGTATACACAGGCTACGGAAGTACATTTCTGAGTGTGCCTCACATGAGGTCCTCTGTTTCTTTTTCAATGCAATTAAATTGTTTACCACATATATAAAGTGATAAGCAAATAAAATCAACAATGGTACTTACTCCTTTATTTTACATTGTCCTCTTCTTTGAGGTCTTTGTGTGTAAGAAAATCCACCTAGGTTTTGGGATCACGGAGCTGTAAGTATAGCTTGTATTACTTTGTGCAAATAACCTAACTTAAGTGGACTTCAGTTTTATTACCTTGAAATACTTCACATCAGAAGACGCAATAGGCTGAATAAAGGCCTCTAAAAGATATTGATGTCTTCAACCCTAGAACCTGTGAATGTTATCTTATATAGCAAGAAGGAGCTTTGCAGTTGTCATGAAATATGAATTTTGAGGTGGATAGACTATCCTGGATTATCTGGTTGGACTAACTGCCATAGCATATATCCTTACAAGAGGAAGACAAAAGGAGACTACAGCACAGAAGAGGAATGCCAGATTGGAGTGATGTGGCCACAAGTCAAAGAATGCTGGCAGCCACTGGCTGCCCAAATAGAGCTCCCTGAAATTTCTGGAGGGAGTATAACACTGGTGATATCTCCATTTCAGTTCAGTGATGCAGACACAGAGAAATATATATATGCATATCTTACAATACAGACAGTCTCAGACTTACAGTGCTCCCAGGAAGTAGACAAGAGCAGCAGAGAAGAAGTGAAGATAGTGGCTACTACAGTTAGGAGTAAACAGGAAATGTGGAGGCCAAGAGCTAGAGGCTGTGCCATAGTGTAAATTGGGCTCTCACCTGGCAATCTGTAACGGTTTCCTTGCAGCTCTCTCCACCCTCCTAACACCATCCCTCTCATGGCCCTCAGAGGCATCTCCCTGGTGTGTCAATCAGATCGCACAGCAAAGCATTTTTGTCTGTCCTCTTCCCTTTTGGGCAGTGACCCTAGGTCATTGCTGTATGCTGAGCCAAAGCTCATGTTTATCTCTCAAGGTGCCGATATCTCTCTTTTTATTTTCAGGATAGGTTCTGTATGTTTTGACCTTGTACATGTAATAGTATGTTGGGCAGAGATTTTTCCATCTTCTAGGAGATTTTGTCCCTCATTCAGGCATCACACTGAAGGCAGGCTCTTTCTTCCCTTGCTAGGCCTGTGAGCATAGCCTCTACCTCACAATCTACTTTCAGAGATTCTGTGCTTTATTCAGGGTCCCTGCTCCTCTGTCTCCTGCCTTCACAGTAGGGAAAGGTGTGTCTTTTCCCACTGGGCTGTTAGAATTCCTGGCCTGGGTCCCCTGAAGTCTGCATTTAGATATGAGATTTCTGGTTTCTCTCAGCACTTGGATATTAATTTTTTCGACATCCAGAAAATTCCTTTTTTTCTTATGAGTTCTTCCATGTATCAAAATATTTTTATATTTTATGCATTGTTTC